TCCCCTGTATCTTTGGGTCTTCATTCTGTCTACTGAGAATATACATTAGATAAATTTGTCTGCCTTGTCTACATTAATCTGCCTTTTGAGTTGATTTTTCAGTGAACCTTCACAAGGCCAAGGGAAAGTTCTATTTGGTTCTTTTTCAAATGTCTGTCTTAAAAATATGGTAATCTTTCTTACTTGTGTTTTTAATTCCCTTTTTATTTCAAAAAATATTTAAAGATGTATGATTTATATTCATAAATGCAGCATTTGAAGTCCTTGGGGGTCATCGAAGTCTGCTGGTTTATTGTTTGTCCTGACCCACTAATGGTGGCTATTTCCTCATGAGATCTGTTATTTTGGATTGTGGATTCCTGTTGCCTAGGACTTATCTATAGAAAACTTGAAAACCAGATTTGAGGGATTATCCCTGAAGAGATTTATAGTTACCACTGTGACATGCCTGGGGCCAATTAAAGTTAATTCCTAACTTTCCCAAGCCATCCAAGTAGTGTGAATTTGAACCTTAATCTCCCCTGAGAACAGAATGTAGATTCTCAAGGGAGAGTTTTTTTTACCTTTGAAGGACAAGCCTATATAGACGATTGTTCATTTTATTTTCCTTTCCTCATGGTAAATTATTTTTTCTGGTCCTATGTACTAGTGATGATAAAGAGACCCTAGTTCTGGTTTCTGATCTATTTGGGTCCTGAGACCTTGACTTCTGGTCCCTTCGAGACAATGAAAGCCAGAAGACTAGGATCCAGGGAGCAGTAAACATCCCCAGAGCAGCTTCTGCTTTGGATAATGAGAAATATCAATAGAATGCTTTGAAAAATAAAGAAATAAGAATACCTTCAATCAATTATGCATTATTAATATGAAGTATCTAAATTAGGAACCTGTGTGTGTGTGTGTGTCTATGTGTGTGTGTGTGTTTATTTGGGAAACACTTTTAGCAACAATTTCTTCCCTTCTTGTGGTATCAAGAATTACATAGACAAAAAAAAAAAAAAAGAATTCCATGGACAATACTTTGTATTCAACTGATGGCATTCAAAAGATTCAAAGACTTATAAAACATTGTTTTCAAGGTCAAATCAAATTGGAGGCAATGATTCTTCATTCCATTTATAAAACCTAGGTAACTTGTCTTGGTAAAGCTAGTACTAAAAATGCCTTTTTTTTTAGACAGGTAGTTAGAATACCATACAGAACTCATTTTTGACTGTCAAAACCAGAATTATTTGCAAGCCATAGATACATACAACCTTGTAGGCTGACACCTCACTTAACTGTTAGATCACCTAAAAGATTATCTTGTCGTCTTTTATGTGAATTCAAGAGCACAAAGCTATTTAAAATTCTTTCTCTAAAGAAATTCTATTAGGAGCATTATATTTCTTTGGCAGTCCTAAAAGGATCTAGTCCAATATTTTAACATCATATTTTTTAAAGCCACTTTAGTTATTCTTTAAAAAGTTAGATTGAAACCTGAGACACAGATATGCACTATGTATGTGGGATGAATCTTACCAGGGTGCTGTAGCTCAAAGAGTTCTTTCAAAATTGGTATCTGGTATTAACATAGCAGTATTCAAATATGCAAGAGAATAGTAGGTAAAAATACAAATAGATTGTGCTTTCACCTACTATTCTCTGCATATTTGAATATTCACAAATAGATAGTGTTTTCACATGTAAGTTTTAGAGTGCTCCCAAAGGACATAAGAATAAAAGAAAAAAAAAAGATTCATTGTACCATTAAAAATAGTCTATAGTTGCAGCGCAACTGTGGGGAAAGAAAATTATTGAGGCGTAGTTCAGGTAATTTTAAGAGACTAATGCTAATAGATAGCAAAGGCTGAACACATTCTGAATTATGAAATGAAATAAAACAATGGACAAAGGAAGACAATAGCAATAATAACTACCACTTACGGGGTTCTAACTATATATCAGAACTGTATTCATTGCTTTTCTTATAAACAATCTCGACTAAAGGAGAATCCATTTACCAAGTGTTTAATATATGCCACTTTTATCCATAGAATAACTTTTTGAGTTAGGAATTATTATTTGCCCATTTGTGTAAATGAGGAAACTGACAAGAGTTTCATCAACTTGCCCAGATCATATAAGCTGGAAAGTGTTAAGATACAAAAGCCAAGATAGGCTAGCTCCAGAGACTATGCTGTATAACAAGTCTCCATTATATTTTCATCTAATTATTAATAATAAGATTTATCTTATCCTGGTTAGGGTGTGTCCTATTAATCCCATTTTAAAGATGAGCAAACCGAAGTAGAAACTCTAAGTAAGTTGCACAAGATAACTTGTGAGTAATAATGTCAAAATGAAAACTGATTAATCTGTTTTCAGAATCTATGTACTTTCCACTATATTATTCTGCCGCTGTGGCATTATATTTTATTATTCATTCATTTAGTCATTCATTTAACAAATATTTGTTGAGCACTGTGTACAGTGTATTTTTCTGGGCTCTGTAGATACTCTAGTGAACAAGAATGGCATAGTTCTAAAGATTGCATTCTAGTGGGGAGAAATAAAAAGTAAACAATTAAATCCGTAAATGCATGTCAAGTGTCAGGTACAATTAAGAAAAATAAAGCATTGTAAATGGCTAGGAAATAATGAGATAAAGGGTGTATTTAAATTTTTTAGACAAGACGGTCAATGCAAGGAAACGTACAACTGTCACTGGTACGTTTATGATGTTGCTTTCTATCTCGAGTACCTTGACTCCTTGATTTTATGACATTGAAACTCAATCTGGGTTTTATATCATTCTTCTGGTTTCTAGAAGAATGTACTTGATTTAAAACCCACCATGTCATTTCACAGATGATTTTATGCTGGTTTTACTTTGTAATTCTGGAATGGTCATTTGAAGAGACAAAATTGGTAATTGTTTTTTTTTTTTTTTCCCTAAGTATTTATCCAAAATACCCAGCTTAATAAGGTGGGATTTATTTGGAGAGCATGCCTTGCCAACAATCAAGTAAAAGGGTCTTCTCCCTGTCATCAGCACTGGATGTGGACTATTAGTTCTTAGAGGCAATCTCATAATAAAAGTAGTAGTGATGTCAAGAACTAATTGATTTTAATTGAAGGACTCTTATATTACAGAGTATATGATGGTAAGATGTGTTCAACTTGTTTTTTGCTTTTCTTTAGAAAGCTGAAAACTTTCTTTCCAGTAGTAATTAAAAATAAACAGCAGTCATTAACTTACTGTGGGCTTCTAATGGATTTAACATTGCTTCCTTGCATGAATGATTTTCTGATCTAAAGCAAAGCAATTTAACACTGAAATTATCTTGAAAATTAAAAACCATCCTAGATAATGAATAGTTTCAATTTCTGTAACATGAATTTATGTGTAGTTTTCCTTTTTAATGCATTCTTCTATACATATACAACTTGCTAACTAACAAAAATGGTCTCATAGGAACACCACCTCAAAGAACAGTATGCCAAGTTCAGTCTCTGAACTCTATGGCCTGGGAGGCAGTATTTATTCATTCATATATTTAGCCAACATTTATTGAGAAGCTTCTTCAGGCTAGGCATTTTCCTGAGTCCTTTGGGGAACAAAAGGAAAAAAAAAAATCAGTCTCTGCCCCCAAAACAATATATTATTTTGGGATTGGAATAATATTTTATCCTAAGCTTGCCTCATTTATTTAATTAGTTGTATCATAATTTATTGAACCAATTCTGTGTTATTGTATATTTAGATACATTGGGGTATTTTTGTTTTTTTGCTATAAAAAGCCTGGATTGAACTCTTCTGATAACAAGTATTTGTCCATATTTCTCATTTTTTTTAGGATGGATTTCTACAAGTGGAATAACTAGGTCAAAAGGCATGAACATTTTACTCTCTTAAAATTTTGTGAAAAATTGCCCTAAAATGGAAATATAGGCAAAAAAAAAAAAAAAAAAAAAGTTGTGTCATTTTACTTTGCTACCAGCACTGTGTAAGAGAGCCTTTTCTTACTTCCTTTTCTTGCCAGCATTAAGAATCTGGAACGTTCTGCCAAATGTGTGTGTTTTTTTTTTTTTTTTTTGAGACAGGGTCTTGCTGTGTTGCCCAGGCCAGAGTACAGCAGCATCATCGTAGCTCACTGCAACTTCCAATTCCTGGGCTCAAGCGATCCTCCTGCCTCAGCCTCGCTAGTAGCGGGGACTACAGGCACATGCCACCATGCCGGCTAATTTTTCTATTTTTTTTTTTAGAGATGGGGTCTCCCTGTTGCGCAGGCTGGTCTCAAACTCCTGGCCTCAAGTAGTCCTCCTGCCTCAGCCTCTCAAAGTGCTAGGATTACAGGCATGAGCCACTGCTCCTGGCCCAAATGTGTATCATTGATCATTAATTTTTAGTCTTCAGAATTGCCCAAAAGTTACTCATTTTTTAAGGATAATTTAGTGCTGATCAAAAAATTTGAAGTGATATTGTTATAGTTAGTTTATATCTAACAAGAGATCATCCAGATTGTTTTCTTTCCTTTTCTTTCTTATATATGCCAAAATTTAGAGTATTAAGAAGTATGAAAATGTCGTCCATTGGTTTGAGAAGTTTGACTAAAAAAACAATGAAGATTGCAGCTGTCTATGAGTCAGTTGGAAGAGTTGAATATTGACTCAAAAGCATGTGTCAAAAATCAAATAGATCTCTATTTTGCTAGGGCCTATTGAATTTCATAAGTACCTATTAAGGATATTATGAAATAAATTAAGTACCAACACATTATATTTGATGCTAATGCTTTTTATTTAAGCACAAAATTCCTACCTATAGAATTAATAATACTGTGAATAGGTTTACAGCAACCTAACCGCATCTTACTTAAAAACGAAGTTATGAAGAAGCTTCATGGTTAGCTTGTCTGTTACATCTTTATAACATTTTTGCCCTTACTGAGTTTGTATGCTCCGCTGTTTGATCTCCTTTTTGCTCTTATCTCAATGGTTATACTGTTTATTTCTAGAACCATTGGACACAAAAATCGGTATGTCAAAGTCCCCCGTGGTCACATCTGGGTTGAAGGTGATCATCACGGACACAGTTTTGACAGTAACTCTTTTGGGCCGGTAAGTCATCTTTTATCTTGTTGCTGATATAATTGGATTTCAAAAGTGGGAACGAAAGTATGTCAGATGGATTGCTCAGGTAAGTCAGCCAAGACTGATCATGAATTTTATAGTGAAACAGTTTATGTTTGAAAATTTCCTTTTAAGTATCATAAATATATAACATAAAGTATCAAGGTGTATGTATGTGTTTCATAGAAAAGAACTTAGAAACTTCAACAAAGTACCAAAAGATGCTTTTTAGCTGGGACTGAGAATTAAGTCACATAACACAGATGAACAGAAGGAAAGCATGCAAATTTAACATAAGTTTTAAATGGTATAGGAGCCTTCATAAAGAAATGAAGACCCAAAGAAATGGCAAGACCTACATTCTTTTGTATTAGATCGAACAAAGAGAGGTAATTGTGAAAAAGTAACTAAATTATGTGGGGAGGCTAAAGAAAGATAAGAATTATTTTAACATGGTCTATTTGTACAGAATTGTTTCCACTATTACTCCCCAAAGAAGAGTGTTTCTTTTCTCTTGATACAAGGAGGGCATCATTCACATGAAAGTTTTTATCTCCTGTTTTCAGAAAGAAAAGGGGGAAGATTTGAATCCCCTTCTTGCATCTGCTGTTTTTCAAATGCCCATAGCTTAAAGTAATCCTTATACCAAACTGGCATATTTTGGGGTGGCATATTCTGCCACTCTTCATAAGTAACATTTTCTAAGCATTTAATTTGTAGCAGAAGTGCAGGCATTCCTTATTCTGTGCTTATATTCCGTAAAATATGTGACTAAGCTGATATTTTATGAATTTTTTCATGTTGAATGCATGCAGAAATTCTCTATTTGTGAATCCCTGCAGTGGTTCATTATATAAAGTGAAAAATCTTCTAGATAATGGAAACTATTCCTGATTATCTAGTCTGTTTAAATACTTGGATCTTCACCCATTAGATTTTCCTAACACTAGACATATCTATACTTGTTATGTATATATAGGTTGAGCATCCCTCATCAGAAATCTGAAATGCTCCAAACCCCAAAATTTTTGAGTGCCAATATCATGCTCAAAGGAAATGCTCATTGGACATTTTAGATTTCAAATTTTTGGATGAAAGATGCTCAATCAGTATGTATAATGTAAATATTCAAAAATCTGAAATCCAAAACACTTCTGGTCCCAAGCATTTTGGATAAGGGAAATTCAACCTGTGTAAGTTAATATTGAGTACCTTTAGATATGTTTGTGAAAAAAATTTATCCACATAATTTCATCTAAAATTAAATGGTGGTCTCTAATAAAACAATTTCCTTCACATATTATGAGGGATCACTATTATTGTTACTAAGCAGCAACCATTTTGACTCACCTTTGGCTAAAATACAATAATTGAGCTGGGGTTAGATTGGTGTATGGATATGTGGCAGATAATTTTGGGAGACTAATCCTACTTCTTTTTGCTAGTTGCAACAATGATAATAAATACTTCTAAGGCCTTTTCTCACTTTTGAATCATAATTATTACAGAAATATAATCTAATACCAAAAATGAGACAAACCATTTGGAAAATTCTAGGTCACTTATAGTATAGAAGTGACTGTTGTGAAGAAATTTAGTAGCAATTTGAAAGTGAAAATAAATTACCTAAAAGCCATTTTATTTCTCTTTCATCATAGATGTGATTGGATATGAAATGTTTCCATTATGTATAATATCTCTATGAAATATCTTTATGCTGCCCCTCTTGAATATATCATCATTGCACAATGGTAGAAAATGTCTTATCATCTCATAATATGGATTCACTAATTTATGACTTTAGTTTGGATTTCTAGCATGAAAAATGTCTTTTGTAAGTTTCCTTTAAAATTATGATAATTGCTTGGAAGTGTTACTAGATTTTACTGGATTATGTATTAGATTAAAGATGTACGATGATTCTGATGTGTTGGTTTGCGATTGCTCAGAATATTTTCTAAGCATTTCTCTGAGTAATTCTTTTGCTTTGTGAAAGAAATTAGTATCTTTAACCACTCCTAAGTCCGTGTAGAACACGTTAATACATCTTCTATTATAGCCAGGCCGTTCTTTGCCAGCACCCAAAAGTAATTGATTATTATAGGTATTGATGAATGTTCTACTTGCTTTAAAATGGAAGCACATAAAAAGCAAGTTTTGTATTTGTATGTGTGCATGCATCGCTGAGAATTTTCAAATAGTCATTTTTAACCTCTTCAGATCAGCAGACTCTTCATCAGTTAAAAATGCATGCAGCAGTTCTTTCTCCTATTTATGATAAATATTCATTTCAGTACTTATATTTGAACTGTTCTCATAGATATTCATTCTTTTTGGTGAAAACACAAATGCGATTCTTTTCATGGCCTAGCTTGTACATTTTCTATCTTTGAAGTTTTTCTGTCACTTTTATCTAGCTTTAAGTCATGAGCAACTGAGATACTTTCACTATTTGCTGCGCAGTGATTTGTGAAACTCTAGTATCTAAAAATCTAAAATAATTAATTTTAACTACATTGACGAAAGGACATTAGAAGAAAAATTTTTGACTTAAATATTTTAAGGCAAAGATGATCTTCCCAATATGTGTAAATGTATTTTGATTTTTAGGTTTGTGATCATAGTGTCACCTTGTGAGCAATTTGTGTGCAGGGACCATGAAGCAGAACTGAACAATTTGGATGCATGATATACTGCCTCTATCTGAGAATGGAAACTGCAAGTTATACTAAACATGAAATCTTTTTAGTTCCAAGTCCCTTGGAAAGGAGCTAATTCAATCACTTATTTCATTGATACCTAATTAAATAAAATATTAGCTGCCTAGAGTATTTTCTTGAAGGAAATATGCCTAATAGAAAGTGATAGATTTAACAAGAAATGACCATTACAGATATTGTTTATTGATGAAATGAGCTGATAGTCTGAAAGTGATGATATATAGGAAGGTACGGAAAATGAGGATGAAAATTCCATAGAATTCCTTTTGAACTTTTATGAGGTACAAAAAAAGTTTTTCATTTTTTACAAACTAGTGAAAAAGCAAAGGAGAAAAGCAAAATCGATGTTTTCATATCATGCAAAGCCTTTAATTTGTGCCTTCAAGACACATTTTTGAGCATCTGCTAATTGTCCACCCTGGTTTTGGCCTGTGGATCCTGACGGGTGGAAGGGATCTGGAGAGAGATTGCTAGATTAGGTGCTGCATGTGGGAAATGGACATTGTAAGAGGTTTAGTATCTAGTCATACCTGTTTTGAATTTTTTCCCTATGTTGTGCATTTTTGATTAACAAAAATACAATATGTGTTAACTAGGGCAGCAAGAACAAGATTCTTGGAGTTGCAGAAAGGATGAAAGGAAGCAATTTTTTGATATTAGACCACATAACAAAGAGAGGAATTGGGATGGAGTTTTGGGAAATGTTTAAAATAATCAGACATCATAAAGGCAGAGATTCAAGTCATGGATAATAAGGAGTATACTGAACCTGTGAGTCTTCCTAATCCTTCGGACACTGTCACCAAGTATGAAAAAAATGCCCTGATGCCCATAAGGAGCGGGTAAGAGGGTCAATAGATACAGCAATGACTGATGTCTAATCCCCACCCTCCAGAAAGGATAGATAGAGGAGAAGCTCACAATCAGGCCATCACAGTAGAGTGTAACCAGAACTCTAAGTGGGGGTATGGCAGAGCCTCGTAGAGGAATAGAGTATTTGTGTACTACAAACTCATACGAAAAACCTACGCAACCTCCTCAGTGGATTTGGTAGAACAGCGTTCTAAAATCAGTGAAAATAGTAACTGTCTGGTAAAATCTTGCATTACATAAAGCACTCCAGATGTTGTATGTTTTGCGAATGGAGTGATTTTATGCCTGCAGTGGTTAAGGGGTTTCAGCTGCATTGAAAATATTCTGCTTATACAATACAGAATGATCTTGTGGACATATGAGAATAAATTGACATTTCATTTTATTTATTGTTGAAGTGTAATATTTTCCTTGTGTAAGTTCTCTAGAGCACTTCGAGTAGCTTTTCTTTAAAATCAGCCATTTTCAAACAAAGAAAAAGATCACTAGATTGTGTTGACAAGCTCCACATAAAGTGTTCTAGTCATGCATTCTTTGAAAAATGTTGCTTAGACTTTAATTGGTTTTATTTTCTTATTGTCTCATAGTATACGCTTATTCATTAAAAATTTTTGTTAGGAACTAAAATAATCTGTATTTTATAGAAAAATAATGGTAACACCAGTCCTTTGGTTCTTGAAGTCATAGAGTCTTACCTGGGTGTTTTTCTTCAATTGTTTCTCACAGTTCCCTTAAACAGTGCTAGAACCTCGCAATGCCACGTATTTTACTTAAATATAATTTTCATTTAACTAGTATAGACAAAGGCATGCATTTCATAAAAAGATCAAAACCAATTCAAAGAGATGCCACATTAATGAAAATATCTGTATAACCAAAAATAGCTAAGTCTCAGAAGAAAGCCCATTCTCTAAAGCAATGTTGAAAACCAAGAAATGCCCACACAGCAAAAAGAAACAAAAGCCCCTTAGGATTAGCTTCACTATTAGTTGGATTAATTGCTGTGCAGTCAGGATGTCAAAAAAATATGTGATTTTAAAAAGAGAGCATGGAAGCATAACATAGTGGTAAAGTAAACAATGTTACCCCTACCCCCAAGAGCAGAGGTTATCTAAGCTTCTATTTCTACCAAATCAAATTTTGTCCTCTGTCTTAATTATTCTGCTAGTGTAAGAATCATTTTCCACATGATTTCATTTTTAGATAGGAGAATGTCAGCAGAATTGTCATTAGACTCCATTACTATGGCAGATACTGTTCCTTTGGGCCGTTTAGTTACAGAATTAAGCATGTTCATTTTATTAGAAATGTATATTTACTGACAGTGGTTCACGAGCCAAGATTTAGTGAAATATATGCTGGATTATTAATTTAGCAATTTTATAAGCTCTTAGA